AGACAAGTCGTGGTTCTGATATTGGTGTCACTGATGAGGGCGATGATGGCAGACAAGTCGTGGTTCTGATATTGATGTCGCTGATGAGAACGATGAAGGCAGACAAGCCGTGGTTCTGATATTAGCGTCACTGATGAGAACGATGAAGGCAGACAAGTCGTGATTCTGATATTAGTGTCACTGATGAGGGAGATGGAGGCAGACAAGTCGTGGTTCTGATATTGGTGTCACTGATGAAGACAGACAAGTCGTGGTTCTGATATTAGACAAGTCGTGGTTCTGATATTGGTGTCACTGATGAGAACGATGAAGGCAGACAAGCCGTGGTTCTGATATTAGTGTCACTGATGAGGGAGATGGAGGCAGACAAGTCGTGGTTCTGATATTGGTGTCACTGATGAGAACGATGAAGGCAGACAAGCCGTGGTTCTGATATTGGTGTCACTGATGAGAACGATGATGGCAGACAAGTCATGGTTCTGATATTGGTGTCACTGATGAGGGCGATGAAGGCAGACAAGTCGTGGTTCTGATATTGGTGTCACTGATGAGGTCAAACGGTTTGTATTGCAACCAATCAAAATTGGTCTGATTCTTATTTATTTGAAAAACAAATTAATGTATTATTAATTGTATTCATTTATTAATATTGAAGTTTACAACCAAAAGACTTTGTTATTTAAAACACTCAAGTCATTTGTTATTTCAGTCATTTATTGTTTGTCAAACCATTGTCATAATAGTACATAAAAATTTTTTGATGACAATAATTCAGTCAAAACCAAAATTCGAAAGAATATTAAAGGCACACAAGATTCACCTGCGATTCACAATAATAATCCGAAATTCTGAATCAAAGTAAAAAAAGTAAATTTAAGAATAACTTTAGATCGGTTGATTGCCAGTGAATTGCTCTCTGTATCTGAATGCGAACTTATCAAAGGGCTTCTTGCTACGATATATTGATTATTATATGTACAGGATGTCCCATAAAAGTGTCACTAACTTTGTAATCTCCGTTTCTAATTAATCTTAATCTATTATACTTTTTATTATTTTCCTATTTTTAATTTTTCATATTTTTATCACTATTATAGCTATTATTATTTACCCTTTTTATTTAAAATTTATCATGTATTTTCTCACTAGAATGTTTAAAAAAAAGAATTACGGTTAAAGTAAGTTAATTTGAAGCGGAGATATAATCAGTTAGACGATAGTTAGTCATTGTTATAGATACTACTAAGACTAATTGATAATCATTTGCATTATTAGTTTGTTTAAAATTTGTTTAGCATGATATCAATTAGGCAATTATGATCAAAAAACTTTTGTATTCCTAATTAATGAGATCGAGGATGAAATTATTTATCCTCAATTTCCTTTATTTTAGGTATATGAATTCGCAATTTATTTATTGAAAAACATTTCACATGAAAAAATGTAATATTTAGCGAATAGAATTAAAAAACAGATTTGTTATGCGTTATGCGTCATGGTAGTTATGCGCACTATATTTGTTATGCGTCATAGTTTTCGGAACTGTAGCTACTCGCGAGAAAAGAAAGCTGGACATTTGTATCTCTTTGACAAACTTTTTTTTGTCAGAGAAACGATTTAATGTAATTAAGATATTAAAATTAGTTGAATGCCTAAACAAATTGAGCAATAGACAATTATTCAGAAGACTATTATTTAGAAGACTATTATTTAGAAGACTATTATTTAATAATAGACTATTTTTTATTACTTATTTGTATATCGCCGTCAAGCAGATCTAATTATTGAGAGAAGGTTCTGACCAGTTGACGAGGTATCGATGACATCTTTTTTCTCTACCAAACTGGGTCAAGATGGCTAATGTTAGGGCAAAAGTGCATCGCTATTCGGACAAAGTCTCATTAATTACTCTGAGTGTAGATCGAACAAGGGATACGTCTTAGATGTCCAGGCGCTAGTACAGGAAAACCTCAACAATGGAGTTCATAAAAATAAATTCTTTTTCAGGAGCAAAAGAAAAGATAACAAAGAAAGATTTTACTTACTGTACGATATGTGATTTTTTTTCATCAATTATGGGCTGAGAAGCGTAATTGAGAAGTAATTGAAATAATAATTTAAGATTAAGAAGGTAATTGGTTTAAAAACTAAACACTTTCACAAATTTATTACTGAGCAAATTTTTACGAAATCAATTAACGTAACCACTTGGCGAATGCATTAGTAATAAATACGTTTTTCCTATTTTATTTATTAAAATACTGTTGAAAATAATAAAAAACATTATCGTTAGAAACAATCCCCGAATTTCATATATGAGTTTCTAATTTGCTCGAAACTCCAAGCGAAAATTTTAGAACGATCATCACCTTATAAACGAGCGTTGGTCACGATATTAAAAGCTTAATTATATCGACACTCAAATAAAAGTCTTGCCATTAATACTGTGGCCGATTATGCAAGTAATCGATTACCGGTTCATTACTGGACCCCACTTTAATTTTAATTAACTTCTTAATTACTTAATTAAATTTAATTTATTACTTAATTAAGTAATTTTTAATCACAGCATCCTAAAAGCTTTTGAAATTATTTAATGGATCTAAGCATCTCATAATGCCTTTAAACGTCAAGATATTTGCGTCGATATTAGGTCCATTATATCAGTTACCGCTCGCTGAGATAAAGGAACTTCTAATGGAATGGAAATAAAATAAGAAATTCTAATTCTAATGGAAATAAAATAAGAAGCTGAGATAATCGAAGCTGACATTTGCGCTTCCGTATATGCCAGTCCTACTTTAGCTTCTGGTATGAACATTTCTTGTTATTTTTCTTTAGCATAATTTCAGGCATCAAAAAGATCGTTAGAAACTGCCTCTAAAAAGAAGAATGGTTAGAAAATTAGAAAAGCTTACATAAATTAGGAAAAGATGAACTATTTGGTGTGTTACCAAGTAATGAAATTTCTGCTGAATCATGGAAAACAAAGCCAGTTGGTTTTCTATTAGTCACAATTTAACCGTTCAATAAATGTAAATCTGTCATAGTAGTGGTTTGATATATCGCGTATTTTATATTTATCTAAAATTTATCATGAAAATTTGTTACCTTGGTGATAATTCTCATACATTACATCAATATTGTCTTTCAATAAGCTAAAAATTCTCAGGCTCGCGATACAACATAAACATTCATGAATATTTTCTCTGTTAATTCCAACGTACGTCATCACTCGCAATAAAATCTTCTAGATTCTTGGAGTCGTGCAAAGGAAGATCAAATGCAAGCAATTTCAATTATTTTGCTAAAGTTTCATCAATAGAAACTTGCGTCCAGAACTGTTTCTTGTTTATAAAAGGTTTCTCGCAATCACTCAAGTTTTGCACTCAAAGAAGTACGTGAGACTTTGTTCAAATAATGATGCACGTTTTGCCCTTGTCTGGGTCATGACCAAGTCTTAATCGTAAAATAGCGTATCAGTGCTACGTCCGCTCTCTGCCCATGCAGTGGGTAAGAAAGTGTGTCACTATTTGGGCACTATTACCCATTATTTTGGGCACCATTACCCATTAGTTTTCTGAGTATACGCACTGCCAGAGTAAACAACAGCACAAATGTCATGTCGCGAAATTAAATGAAAAAAGTACATTACATTTTATCATAGAAGAAAAATGTAGCGCTATTTTGTCGCTCGTGATATATATGAATTGGAAATGTTGGATTGCATTGAGAGAATTCTTATTAGGTGCATTTTGGTTTCATCATAACTCCCACGTGTATATTATAAATGTAACTTCATCCAGCGCATGTTGATGACGACATCACTACACATTTTTCTTATAAATGTAACTTAATCCAGTGCATGATGATGACGTCATCACTCACGCATTAAATATATAAAATGCAACTTCATCCAGTGCATGCTGATGACATCATCACTCTTTCACTTATTGCATTTTATCTAATCCACTTCCAAAATCCATTTTCTAATTCATTTTCAAAATCAATTTCTTTCTAATACATTTTCGAATCCAAAAATTTTCTAATCCATTCCACCATTTATCCACCAGGCCGTGGTCGTTTTGCTAGTGGCTGGCGTGAGCCTCGCCTACGCCGACGCTTATCCTGGTGGATTTTTCGGCGGCGGTGGTGGAAAGAAAGGCGGTGGATACGATGACTACGGTGGATATGGTGGTGGATACGGGGGTGGTTACGGAGGTGGTGGAAAAGGTAAAGGAAAAGGATATGGAGGTGGAAAAGGAAAAGGTGGTCACCAGAATGCGTACTTCATCGTGCATACACCGGTGTTTATCCAGAAGAGTGGATATGGACATTCCGGTGGATACGGTCACTCTGATGGAGGATACGGGCACTCAGATGGAGGATATGGACATTCCACAGGATATGGACACTCTGGTGGACATTCAGGTGGATACGGACACGTGGCGTATGGACATGCACCTAAGGCGTATCATGTGGTGGATTATGGCTACGATGATGAGTACCATAAGTAAGGATTATGGCTACGATGATAGGTATCAAAAATAGGGATTATGACTACGATGATGGATATCAAAAACAGGGATTATGACTACGACGATGAGTTTCACAAATAGGGATTATGGCTACGATGATGAGTTTCACAAATAGGGATTATGGCTACGATGATGAGTTTCACAAATAGGAATTATGGCTACGATGATGAGTTTCACAAACAGGGATTATGGCTACGACGATGAGTTTCACAAATAGGGATTATGGCTACGATGATGAGTTTCACAAATAGGGATTATGGCTACGATGATGAGTTTCACAAACAGGGATTATGGCTACAACGATGAGTTTCACAATAGGGATTATGGCTACGACGATGAGTTTCACAATTAGGGATTATGGCTACGATGATGAGTATCACAAATAGGGATTATGGCTACGATGATGAGTATCAAAAATAGGGTTTATGGCCATGATTGTGCGTATCACAAATTGGGATTTTGGCTACGACGATGATTACCATAAGTAGGATTATGGCTACGACGATGAGGATAAAAAATAGGAATTATGGCTATGATTATGAGTATCACAAATAGGAATTAAGGCTACGATGTTTAATATCACAAATTACACAGTTATAGACGCTCGTCTCCATTGCTTAGATTAACATTCAGATTGACTTTAAATTCATAACCTCAATTTCTTTATGAATTATTTGTTATGAGGATTTGGTCAAGATCCTTACGCGATTTATTAATGTAATGTTGATGGCTGCCCAATTGCCAGTTCATGACCATTCATATTCGCGGTCATGAATTGTGTAACATAATTGTTGAGACTTTTTTTCTGTATATTCGAACTTAAGTTATTCATGCAGTGTAAAACGTTTCAAAAAAATGAACAGGCATTAAAAATGGAACATGCAATCATAATGATCCCCGAAATTATTGATTGACAGCTATTAAATGACTTAAATTAAATGACGCGATTAAATGACTTTTTCGCAACTGAAAAGCCGCGAAGGGATGTCACTAAATTGATTCATTTCGGGAAGAAAATAGAACGAATGAATTTACACTCAGAATTTTCTGAAAATTGATATGATATTAAATGTTTACGAGCATAATTCATGACATGAAAATTAAGAGAAAATAAAACAAGATCGCTATTATTTATAATTTTATGGTTGAGATTAGTTTGTCTTTTTTATTTATGTCAAAGCGTATTTTGAATTATGTTGTTTTCTTTTTTTCATTTCCTCTAATTGTTGAACGTTTGTTGTTAAAATAAATTATAAGTCAAATGAAAATTGCTTTTCATTAAAGTCCATATTACCTTACTCCTCAGAAGGGAAGATGCGTGTATAGAAAGATGGATATACCTGGTGATAGATATACCTACGCACATGTGTGCGTAGTGGTTAGTTAGCTATAAATAATATCGTTCTCACGAATAACTTACATTACATTATTAAAATAAACCTCCTCGCTTTATTAGAAATTAGCATTGCAGCGTTTTTATAAATTGATTTCTGGAATTCTAGGAAGACTTTTTATGATCCAAATGCTTACAGGTGGGATAAATATGGTACCGTACTCGAGATAGCTAACTATTGCTAATATTAATAGTCAACTAATTTATTGTACTGAAAATACTATTGAGCGATAAACTATTTTAATGAAATGATTTAATGGAATTTGATACTCGAGATATTCAAGTAATGATAATATTAATAGGCAATCAATTGATCCATTATTAAAAACTCCTCAAGATAGAAGCAATTAACTATTTAACGAAATACACTGGAGAAACTTTCGTAAGGAACTCGAAGTTTTCCGTCGATGAAAATGACAGTTTTTTGAGGATTAAATATCGATACCTTCTGCTAGTATGATGGCATAAGTTAGAATTTTAGTAAACAAAATTTTCTTCATTTTTAGTTACAAATTTGATATACGAAGAACATGAATACAATTAATTATCTCTATTTAGATGGTTATTAAATGTAACCGCTTTTCTAAGTGATACTATTGAAATAATTTTGCGTCTCAATATCAGTTCACTATGGTTCAAACTAAGTTTCAATATCAATTCACTATGATTCAAACTAAGTTACAATATAACTCCAGTGAATGAGAATGAATAACTCCACATGCATGCTCTCGTCAGATGTTCATATAAATTCACGCGGCGCTCATGACCAAACAGGAGGTTCTGTTTGTGTACGATATTTGATGGTCNGATGAGTTTCACAAATAGGGATTATGGCTACGATGATGAGTTTCACAAATAGGGATTATGGCTACGATGATGAGTTTCACAAACAGGGATTATGGCTACAACGATGAGTTTCACAATAGGGATTATGGCTACGACGATGAGTTTCACAATTAGGGATTATGGCTACGATGATGAGTATCACAAATAGGGATTATGGCTACGATGATGAGTATCAAAAATAGGGTTTATGGCCATGATTGTGCGTATCACAAATTGGGATTTTGGCTACGACGATGATTACCATAAGTAGGATTATGGCTACGACGATGAGGATAAAAAATAGGAATTATGGCTATGATTATGAGTATCACAAATAGGAATTAAGGCTACGATGTTTAATATCACAAATTACACAGTTATAGACGCTCGTCTCCATTGCTTAGCTTAACATTCAGATTGACTTTAAATTCATAACCTCAATTTCTTTATGAATTATTTGTTATGAGGATTTGGTCAAGATCCTTACGCGATTTATGAATGGAATGTTGATGGCTGCCCAATTGCCAGTTCATGACCATTCATATTCGCGGTCATGAATTGTGTAACATAATTGTTGAGACTTTTTTTCTGTATATTCGAACTTAAGTTATTCATGCAGTGTAAAACGTTTCAAAAAAATGAACAGGCATTAAAAATGGAACATGCAATCATAATGATCCCCGAAATTATTGATTGACAGCTATTAAATGACTTAAATTAAATGACGCGATTAAATGACTTTTTCGCAACTGAAAAGCCGCGAAGGGATGTCACTAAATTGATTCATTTCGGGAAGAAAATAGAACGAATGAATTTACACTCAGAATTTTCTGAAAATTGATATGATATTAAATGTTTACGAGCATAATTCATGACATGAAAATTAAGAGAAAATAAAACAAGATCGCTATTATTTATAATTTTATGGTTGAGATTAGTTTGTCTTTTTTATTTATGTCAAAGCGTATTTTGAATTATGATGTTTTCTTTTTTCATTTCCCCTAATTGTTGAACGTTTGTTGTTAAAATAAATTATAAGTCAAATGAAAATTGCTTTTCATTAAAGTCCATATTACCTTACTCCTCAGAAGAGAAGATGCGTGTATATAAAAATGGATTTACCTGGTGATAGATATACCTACGCACATGTGTGCGTAGTGGTTAGTTAGCTATAAATAATATCGTTCTCACGAATAACTTACATTACATTATTAAAATAAACCTCCTCGCTTTATTAGAAATTAGCATTGCAGCGTTTTTATAAATTGATTTCTGGAATTCTAGGAAGACTTTTTATGATCCAAATGCTTACAGGTGGGATAAATATGGTACCGTACTCGAGATAGCTAACTATTGCTAATATTAATAGTCAACTAATTTATTGTACTGAAAATACTATTGAGCGATAAACTATTTTAATGAAATGATTTAATGGAATTTGATACTCGAGATATTCAAGTAATGATAATATTAATAGGCAATCAATTGATCCATTATTAAAAACTCCTCAAGATAGAAGCAATTAACTATTTAACGAAATACACTGGAGAAACTTTCGTAAGGAACTCGAAGTTTTCCGTCGATGAAAATGACAGTTTTTTGAGGATTAAATATCGATACCTTCTGCTAGTATGATGGCATAAGTTAGAATTTTAGGAAACGAAATTTTCTTCATTTTTAGTTACAAATTTGATATACGAAGAATATGAATATAATTAATTATCTCTATTTAGATGGTTATTAAATGTAACCGCTTTTCTAAGTGATACTATTGAAATAATTTTGCGTCTCAATATCAGTTCACTATGGTTCAAACTAAGTTTCAATATCAATTCACTATGATTCAAACTAAGTTACAATATAACTCCAGTGAATGAGAATGAATAACTCCACATGCATGCTCTCGTCAGATGTTCATATAAATTCACGCGGCGCTCATGACCAAACAGGAGGTTCTGTTTGTGTACGATATTTGATGGTCCTAACAATAATAAATTATAGACGTTATATTCTCAATACGTTATATTTATTACGGGTAATAATATAACAATTATTTTGTGCATCAAGAGGGTCGACTCCTATGGCCGTCGATACCCTTTATTTTTCCGGTAACTATATCGCTCTGTCGCAGCCTGGATCGAACATAAGCGTGAATATTTCACTTCACTTCAATATTTCACTATTTATTTTAAAATTACGGATCAGTAAACATGATATAACTAATACCAGATGCATGAACAGCTTCAGGCAGTCTGTTCTTGCTCTCAAAATAAAGAATGAAAAAAAAAACATTTACAAAGGCTCTTTATCCGAGCGTCTTTCCAGGGCGTGAAACAAAAGACGCGCCCTCCTGGAATTCTGAAGCCATTGTCTCTCGTGACTGGAAAAGAAAGATGCAAAAGACAAAGAATTTTTAATAAAGGTCGGATAGAAAAAAGACTGGTATTGCTGCTGGTGACCATTTATAGGAACTTTTTTTCTGATGCCGCTGGGTCGGTAAAAAAATACTCAGTGAAATGTCAGGAAAAGTTCAACAAATGTCGCACTTCGAGTTCATATCTTCTTTCAAATGCGAATTTGAGAGAACAAAGCTAACAAAGGGAAAAATCCTCAGCCTATGAAAACAAGAATAGATTATAACAAATAATACTATTCATCGGTTAAAGCATGCAAAAAAATTTGTATGAAGAATCAACTTTTGCAACTGACGTAAGGGCTACAAACGATATAAAATAGAAGGTACAAGCATTTTTTTTAAATTTTGATTGGTAGAATATTCACTGCAAAATTGCGCTTTTACAATAGGTTGACATAACGAAGGGCAATTTATTTATTTTTATTCTCCCTGCAGAAATATAATCCACTGTACAAGCTTATATTTTTGAGCAGCAGACTGAAATAAAATGCGAACAATTATGAAATTTCTTGTACATGTATGA